CTGTGCGTCTGCCTCTGTGCGTCTGCCTCTGTGCGTCTGCCTCTGTGCGTCTGCCTCTGTGCGTCTGCCTCTGTGCGTCTGCCTCTGTGTGTGAAATCGTTCTTCGTATCTCTGTGATCTGCTTCAGCGTCCTGTGGCTCAGACTGATCGCTTTCTCTGGTGCTGAACCCCACATCACACTACCATGAGGTACTGATCCTGACCAAAACCCTCTCAGCCCCACCAGTAATTCCTAGCGGTTTCCATGGCATCTTGCATTTACCTCTGTGTGTCAGTGACAAAAAAACACTTTTTCATGACTTTTGCCCAGTTTGTACTTTAGTGTGTGTGTGTGTGTGTGTGTGGAGGTCATTTGGGGTCCATGTAGCGCCCACATGAATATTGGGGAAAGGCCACAAGATGGACATTGTTAGGGTGGGAGAGGGTGATCTTAAGCACAGGCGGGAGAGGCTGTGACCCCCCTCACTGAGGACCTCTGAGACTAGAACTTTAGGTGACAGTTATCCTTTGTAACACTACAGTCGATTTATTCTTTGTTCCCATTTCTGCTATGGCGACGGTCAAAGTTCGGATTTCAGAATTCCTCTAGCAGCAGCAGAAGGCGGCCATACAGTGGAACCTTATGGCCCGGGGTCTATGCAAATGCTGCTTTTGGATAGACGGGCATTCAGAAGGGTGGGAACATTTCAGCCCATTAGGAGGGGGAAGATGGTATCCTGCAGCGCCCTGAGCCGGCCAGCCTTCCTCATTTGGCCCCATGTGATCCTGCTCTAGGGAAGTGAGTCTCCAAAACAAGCTGTGTGTGCCTGTGTCTGGCCAGGCACAGGCACAGGCACAGGCACAGGCACACACCACGCCAGGGCGTCCCGGAGGGTGTCGCTATGGAGACGGGGCTGGCTTTCAGTCTCCAGTGAGTGAAGGCCGGCCTGCAGACCAGTTTGAAATGGGGGTGCTTTTTGGATCACAGCTGCATATAAAGGTGCCCACGGCCCCCAGCCAGAAGGGTCCCACGCAGATTTGGGCCTGATGGTTCGGCAGACAGGAGTCGGCTGGCTGCCTTTGGCGTCTTGCCCCGTTCTGTAAATGTGGTGTTTGCTTTCTGTTACAGCTCCCCGGCCTGATGAACGCGCCCCCTGCCCCGGCATCACTAAGGGAGCCTTCAGTCCCAGGGCTGGAACCAAGCCGCTCATCGCCAAGCCGATATTCAGGCGGAATGCAACCCCAGGTTGTGTGTGTGTGTGTGTGTGTGTGTGTGTGTGTGTGTGTGTGTGTGTGTGTGTGTGTGTGTGTGTGTGTG